GCATTACAAAAGAAGGAGATGGTCCGGGGTGGCGGTCAAAAATAGGCTAAATAGTGGCAAAATTATTTTATTAAAAGCCAACGTTTGTACCCGACTTTGCAGGTCTTCTTCAGGGCTAGAACGGAAAAGATTCAAAAAGATATAGGAAGTTACATAATATTTAGACAAAAAATTATGTAACTTCCACAATTCTCTTAAACATTTATTTTGTCACTTATAAATACAGACTAATTCCTATAATACATATCCAGGCAAAAACCACAGTTTCATGATCAATTCAATGGACAAAAATTTGAAAAACCACTATTTTTTCAAATTTATCTGTTATATAAATAAAAACTATATTTACGCAGTTATTTTTATTATAATATATCCCATATTATTGAAAAACACAGAATAAAAGTTAGCAACCATTATTTGTAATATTTTTTGCTGAAAACAGGGGTACCTTTACTTTACAGGATAAAAAATCACCTCATTTTTTTACACAACCTGGGCTAGAATCTTAAGTTTTTCCATTATTAACCTCTAATTAATTATTATGGACTGAAAGTCTATTAAACGAAGAAGTTTTTCTAAAAGTAGAGTATCTGTAGTATAGTCGGACGATGATAAAAAAATCCCGTGTAATTTGGGAATTCTTGAAAAACAGAACTAAGCCTAATTTAGCCACCTTAAAATCCTCTTTAAATAGTTATAACAGTGATATATTCAATACTTAGTAAATTTTGTCTGGTTTATAGTGAAGCAATCGTAAATTATTTAAATTAAACATTTCGCAATAAAGTACAGTTGGAGAACAATATTAGTGAAATTTAAAAAAAAAAAATAAGAAGATGTCAAAGAAGTTGTTTTTGTTTCTTAAAAATAAAACATAATTAAATTAAAAAAAATGTTTGTACTTTTCTCTTAAAAAATTTTAATGTTTAATATTTCTTACCTTCATAAAGTTTATTGTTGAATTTTACATTGTGTAATAAATATTATATAAGGGATAAATGATCCTCAGTGGTATAAAAATGTACTAAAATTAATACATGATGATTCCTCCAAGCCTTTGGTTCGATCGGCCTTGATGAAGGCCTGAACTTTGTACCGAAACATCAGCAAATGTTAAAATCAATATTTTTATTTATTTTTTATTTTGACTGATCACCCCAACCATTCTTCTCTTCAATTATTCACTACAGTCAACCATCAATACACAATTAAAATTAAAAATACTTTTCTAGATTAAAATAAAATATTTTTACTTATATATTACAGATATTTTTCTTCTTTTTGGTTTTAGGTATTCTTAAAACATACCGTATATTTTTATAGTACTTAAATTTAAGAAGTTAGTATCATAAGAATTAATTTTTCATCAAAAAATTATTAATACAATCGATACATACATAATACATTATGATTTAAGAACATAGATAAAACTTTATTTAAAATCGAAGAAAATGTAGAAACCTAAAAAGGGTTTTGAATTTTGGGAAGGTGTACTTTTCCATGGGATTATGAATTTTCAGAATGAAAAATTTCAAACCAGGGGACAAGGGAAAACATGGAACAGATCACAGAAAGTATAATTGTTTATGATTTACGATTTTTCTAATTCTACTATTAGACCATTTCATTTGACGGAAGACTTTATAGCTAGTAAATATTTTAAATTATAGATAAATCCAGAATTTTCGTCAGTCGGATGAAATACATTGCTTTCTATATGAAAATTAAAATAAAGATGCAAATTTTGACAGTTCTTTTGACGGGAGAACTAACGGCTGAAATTTTGATATGATGTCAAGAATGTGTCCCTAAAGAGATTCCACTTTAGCTGACAATGTACTCGGTTGCGTTTTGAAAACTGACGACTTCAAAGTCATTTAATTAGGCCAGTTGGATAGTAATTGAATGATGAAAAAATTCAAATAGCCTGTTTCTCCTCCATTATTTATGGTTTTTTGGGGTGATGAATCTGAATTTGAGGTTCCTGAGCTAATTTTTTCATTTCGTTCAAATATATATACAAAAAGTTTTTTGGACGACTCCAAAAATATGCATTTTATCAAAATTATTATTATATACAAAGTTAAATAAGATAAAATTTACTATCAGTTTTATAAACAGCTTTTTGATGTATTGGCAACGGGTGAGGAATTAGAGAATGTTGACAAATTGCTTATTTCATAGGAAATATCTCTTTTCGTCGGGTTTTCCCAAAAAACTCACAATATATGCATCTATAATAAATAATAATAATAAATGCATTAATTTAATAGATCATTAAATTTCCTATGTACCTCATGTTGACACGTTAATGAAATGAAATGAAATAAAAATGAAAATAGTTTTTTATTATCCTGGGAATGTTGTCCCTTTAGGACAATTATACATACAGAAAAAAATGCCTATATGGCCATATATTAAATTAAATATTTACAAATCTCATTAAAATTAAAATATTGGAAGAAGAAAAAAAAACCAGATATATGTATATATATATATATAACAAACATGGGAAAATAAAATAACGTAAGTAAACAAAATCATTTCGGGAGGAACTTAAAAAGTTCTGTTATCTACATTTCGTGATCAATTGGGTTGGGAAAGGAGTATGTGCTTAAGGAGAGATTTAAATGAGGAAACTGATTGTGCATGTCGGATATCGAGAGGGAAGGTATTCCAGAAGGAGGCGACTTGATTTATAAAGGATTTGTCAAACGCAGCAGTTCGCCGAGGAGGTGGATAGAGGTCGGAAGTACGAGATCTAGTAGGACGGGATTGAATGGAATATTTAAACTGTATGCTGTGAAAAATATAGGGAAGTCGCTGAGTTCTGATGGCTTGGTATAGAAAGGTAGCAAGGAAGTACAGACGGCAGTTGGATGGATAGAACCACTTCAACTTGTAATACTGGGTTATATGTGTATCTCTTGAGATTCCGAAAAAAAAACGTATTGTTAATGTGTGAGAAGATTAAATGGCTGCTAAAGCACTTGGAATCGAAGACGTATTCAACTCGTAGTATCTGTCGCTCTCAACTTAAGTGCTTTTTATCTTTTCAATGCTTTTGATTCGGTTAATTTAACTACTTTATGACAGAACTAGAATTTATAAACAGATTGCATAGCTTTTATATATTCTTTTGCAATGAGATACTTCAACATCTATAACAATAATTAACAAATTAAGGACCAGAATGCGCTTCAAAGTCCGAACAGTCAAGCGACATTTCGCCTACTCTCATATTACTACTCTACATAAGCTTGAATGAAATTTAAAGTGCATTGAAATTTTTATTGATCTCGGGTATAATCGTTAATATGCGAAAACTTGAAAAGCCATAAGCGCTTGGACTTTATTTCGGTTCTTAATTTTTGATTATTATGAATTTTGATGTCTCTCTTACTAACACAATATATAAAAGCTATGTGATTTGTTTATACATTCTAATTTTGTTATAAAGGCATTGAAATGATAAAAAGCATTTAAGTTGAGTACTTGTATACAAATCAGGACCCTCCTTATGGGGGAGAGGGAGAAGGGGTAATGAGTTGTCGAGGCTCACGGGTGGTTGAGCGGTGATTTGGTTGATTGAAAAAATATATATATTCAATATTAACATTAAAACTTCTTTTTAGTAAATTTTTGATATTATTATTAAGAGTTTATTGTTATTTTTCTTTTTCGAAGCCAGTTATTTTGCACAGTTATAAGACTATTGAGAAAATATCCACTTATTACTGAGGAAAACAAAAATAACCGAAAATATTGGTTTACCGTTTAAGCCGGCTGGTTATTCCCACCTCTACTCAGAGACTTTTAGGGGCACGTTATTCGAACGAGATTGCACCAGTTCTTGAACAATGGTGTAATTACCATTGAACACTTGAAGCAATTTGCTCCACGCGCCGACTTAAAAAGGGCATCAAGCCGAGAAACAAAAAAAAAAAAAAAATTAAAATAAATGTAAATCTGTATTTAATAAAATAATCAGCTTATAATTATAATGGTTTAAACATCACAGATTTTCTGTTATTATAAAAATCTATAACAGTTTAATCGTTGATGAAAAACAATTTTAAAGACTTTAAAAATCGGAATTTCACTTTGTTCTTTGTTTAACTGAAAACCCCAATCAAATTCTCTTCCATGAAGTATAAATAAGATAATTTGTTTATTTTTACTTTGTACTTTGCTGAGTGAACACCCCATTCGACTTCTGTTCAGTATTCAACGACAGTCAATTATCAATCCAATATCTCGAGTTTATATGTTTTGATTACACACCAGCACTAGCAGCTCCAGAAGCTCATTTTTTGGGGGAGGCTTCAGTCCAAAAGCTTTTTTTTTCATATATATAACGATAATTCCTTTGAAAAAAAAAAAAGAAAGATACTAACTACCTATATTAAATGGTATTTAAGTGTTTCTTGAAGTCTTATTAAATTTAATAACACGAACAATAATACTTTAAGAGATAGTTTTTTAATATTAGTTTCCATAAAAGAGGGTTATATTTTACAATTTTGGGGAGGGAGAGAGGGGACTTCGGCCCGAAAGACCTCCTTCTCCCCCAGTAGATCCGCCGTAGATTGTTTTTAGCACTAATCTGAATTTAGCGTTTGTTAAAGACTGGGGTACAGCAAGTTTGAAAGGGAACATTCTTGCAGGTGATTTTTTTCACTCTGAACTTTGGAATGGTATTTATAGAATGTTTTTATTAAAATTCATTTGGTTATACCGAAAATGTAATTTAAAAATGAGATTAAACTGAATCATCATTGAGGTTAACATGAAGCTAATTAAGGACATACGGAATCAATGTGTTTTGTTTATCCTGGAGTGACTTTAAATTGATAAAACGTAATCAACAGGTGGTCAAGTTTTGCGTTGATCTGAAAGTTGACAAGGCCACCAGCAGATAGCGCGAACAGGTGGAATATGTGGCGCTATCTGCAGCACCCACCGGCTGCACCCAGGATTTCCAGTCAGTAAAGAAAGTGATGGCGGCCGAGCCGTTGGGTATATCGCAGATCGGGCTGGTGGCCCGGAGTCCGGAGGGACATGCCGCTAAAGGAATGGCCATAAAGGGACACGAAGACCTCTGGGTCGAGATACAGGCCCACACCTTCAGGAACTGGGTCAACGAGCATCTTCGGGTTGTGGGGGCGGAGGTCCGCGATCTGGCCGTGGACTTCGGCGACGGCACCCGGCTCTGCCTCCTTGTAGAGCAGCTCCAGAAGAAGAAGTTGAGGACCAACTGGATACGGCGGCCGATGAACCAGCACCACTGTCTGGAGAATGTGAGTGCTGCTTTGACGGCCATAGCAGAAGACGGAGTCAAGTTGGTCAACATAGGTGAGTCAAATGTCAAACCACTCCTGTGCTTTCACTGTTCTCCAAATCTCGCACTTTCAATTAGTTCAAGTGTCACTCTTGAATAGCCAACTGTGAGAACTCTTGGTCAATATCACCTTCGTTTAGAAAAGTAACATTTTCAGGTTCTTAGTTTATTTTACACTCATTCTTTAATCGAATCTTATCTTCGAAGACATTTTTGCTGAAAAATTGATCCAACTAATGCGGTTAAGTCCGTAAGGATAAGTTTATAATAAATATATTAATAGCTCATGTTAAACATTGACATAAATTATTTTAATTTCTTTATCACTGATTGATATAAACTTTATTTCTCAATTTAAAACGTATTATTTTTTTTAAATATGCATAATAAATATATTGATGAAACAATCTGTATATTGAATTTGACACTTAATTTTTGTTATTATTTAAAAACTAGATTTATCTGTTAATTAACAAGAAACATTTTCGTTGAATTTTATATAACAATGTTCGTTATAATTTCGTAATATAATTATAAAATAACTCATAAAATTTAGCAATAGAGGCATTGAAGATTTCCGCGTCAACTGACAGTTGCTCCTTGACCTTGAATAGGTAGGAGAGCCGTTGTCAAAATCATTGTTGACTCCCACTACTTCAGTCAGTGCACATTTTTTAAAACAATTTTTTTTTAATGATTAATTATTTAGGAAATATACATCATTAATGTTTTATAGTATCTATAAAAAAAATATTCAAATTTTATTCTTACATATTCTGAACTATTAAATCTGTTTTCTTCGAAAGAGCAGATAGATTTAAATGAAACGATTAATAATTAAATTACTCCTATTTGATTACTTTGCTGGATTATTGTATTCGTCACATCCAATAACCATTCCTCTCACACAAATCTTGATTATTTAATTAATAAATGGTTATTTTATTTTTGATTGTTTTTTAATAAATAATTTTTTTTTTTAAATGTCATGAATTATCTTTTGTGATATTAAGGATTTTTAATCTGACTTCCAGCCACGACTTATAACAGATTAGAAAGTAAGCTATTATGTAGTTAATCACTCTCTCAATATCGCTTACAAACCTTTCGCATTCATTGATTCAAGTATTAACGAGCCATAATGGCGAAATTTCGTTTATATATTACAACCAATGATGAATTTATTAGTAATGGATTATTGGCCTGAGTAAACTATAATTGCTGAATGTGTAGAACTTGTGCAAGTACCTTTCAATTGCCTAGAGTGGTTCAGGATAATTCATTTAATTGATTAAATGTCTGATTATATGAATTTGATAAAAAAATAAATAAAAAAATAATATTTCTACTTATAGAATATATTTTGTTTTAGAAAAATCAAAATAGAGGCAATTATTCTTAAGATTTTTTCTTAATCATATTCGTATTCGTCAAAATTTCTGTTTATACTCCTCTGAAAATTTCAAACATTTTATAATAACATTTCTTAATTATACTATTTACTATATATCTAGAATTAATAATAAAAAAATAGTTAATAATACAACAATAATAACGTAGTTTGATTTTAAATTTATGATGCAAGAGTGAATGTCATTATCTTACTCTGATTTTTTTAATATTAATTTTGATTTCATTTTTATTAAGAAAAATCGTTTCGATTTATTTAAGCTGTCCAGTGTCTATAATTTTCTATATTGATTAACGTCCTATACTACATTGCAGTGTTTTAAAATAAACTAAAATTTGTCATGTTCTAGATTAAAACGAAAATTATTTTATTATTAATAAAATAATCTAAACGTAAAACACAGAATAAGTCGCATTAAAATAAATGAATGGTTTTGATATTTAATTTATACATGTTAACTTTAACTTTAATTGATTTTAGACTTTAATTCAAAAGATTACTCCTTGAATGTATTTTAAATCAGTAGTAGAAAATCATTCGCACATAATTAGTACATCTCCGTTACATTTGGATAAACAGACTTACCAAAAGTTAAAATTAATTAATATATTTCAATATTACAATGTGATTTTTTTTTTTATCGTTATGTTGTTTTTCTTCTTATTAAGAAAATATAGATCACATTTTTGATGGATATTTAAATTAAAATACCTAGTTCTACCATAAATACTGTTAAAAAAGATACAAAAAGTCCAGGGGTGCACAGATGGGAATTTCGTGGCGCCAGTTGCGCCATCAAAAATTTTGAGGGGAGCATATATTGACGGGTTTATGATTTTTTTAGGGGGGAAAATTTCGACGGGGTTATGAATTTTCAAAATGAAAAGACAAGTGGAAGCATGGAACAGACCACAGTATGTGCGATTGCACATAATCTACGAATATTTAAATTATATTTTCGTTTGCGCTGTTTTTAAGAAGAAGAGAGGAATAAAATATCTTGGGAGGTGTGGAAGAAAGTTTATGCGTCATCGGCCTTGGTGGGGGAGAGGGAGGGGTGCATCCCTGTCTCTGTCTCATCAATGTCTCGCATTATAAAAAGTGACCTTAGGATGGGTGCATTTCGAAGAATGACAGGACAAAGGCTAACCACTTCCCTAAAAAGAATTATAGTGGATATATGCAAAGTGATCCTTGGCAGTTAAACCAATGGTCTTTATCCAAAGATTTCTAAAGAAGCCCAGGAAGTCATTGGAAGAGTGGAAAGAGGCCATCATCCTTCCTCAATGATGGTTTGGTGGGTAGTTTACTTTGATGACACCACAAAGCTCCATTTTTGTGAAAAGTGAGTTAAAACAGCCGCTAAAACCTATCAGGACGATATTTTGGAACCTGTTGTCTAGCCTCTAAACGATACTCTGTTCGCTGAAAATCATTGGGCTTTCCAGCAGGATTCCAGCTCACAAGGCCTATTCAACTCAGCAGTGGCTGCAAAAAAACATTCCAGAGTTCATCTTTGACTCGGATTGGCCCTCAGGAAGCCCTGATCTCAACTCACTAGATTATCGGCTTTGGTCCGAACTGGAGAGGATGGCATGCCACAGAGTATACTCTAATTTGGAAAACCTCAAACAATCTCTGGTCCGAGCAGTTGAGCGCTTTCCTCGAGAAGTGCTGCGTGCTGCTTTTGATGACTGGCCACGAAGATTAAATGCCCGTGTCAAGGCAAAAGGGGGACATTTTGTGTAATTTCTTTTGTGTTTTACTCTCTATAGATATACATTTTATTTTCTAATAAAGTTATTAAAAAAATAAATTTTTCTGTTGAAATCTGTACACATTTTCTTGTAACAATGTTTATGAGCGCAAAGAGCAGGACTAGATATAAACCTTGTAAAGGAAAAAATGTTCCTAAATAGATAATCTCAAGTGTTATATTTTTTTTTTTTTTTGGCTATTCCTAAATGTTTAAAAGCTAAACCTTAATAAAATGTAATTATTGTTTCACTCCGTTTTGTTACTTGAGCTACAGACTTTTTAATTTTTTTGGTATATGGACAAATTTATGTTTGGCTAAAGTTCTCAAAATTGAAAAATCATTTTTTTTTTCCGTTGGTCCATATTTGTTTCTGTTAACGATCTGAGGAAAACATTTAAAAAATCACAATATCGTCGGTTTATTGCAAAAAGTTGTTAGGTAACATTTTAATGAATTTAAGATAATCAAATTTGAAGTTTCTGATTCGTTAAAAAAATACTTAAATAGCAATTTGATTATTTATTTTTTGTTATTTGGAATTCTAAATATGTATTTTATTTTCGGCGATTAGTTAAAATACTTAACATACACATAACAATGAAAAATAAAAACGAAACCACGACGCACATAATGACTGTGTACAAACACTATCATAGTGAAATAAAACACTAACTTACTTTCATTACCTTGCTAGTACTTAGAATGGTGAGTTAGACTTACCGCACTTAGTGTTATTAACCATCTGATCAATTCATTCAATGAATGAATTACCAGAAGTAACTTTATGCTCTGAGAAGAAAGAACATTGTGTTCTGAGTGAAACTATTTTTTACGTAAAAGTATTTATTTTTATGCACTTAACGAGTTATTGTATCGATAAACGTACCTTCAGGTAAAAATCGACCATAAGTTTATTTAGTAACCTTTTGCAATAAACCAACTTTGTTGTCTTTTCAAATTATTATTCTTGTAAGTAAACTACTAAATGCAAACACGTATTAATAAAAAAATGTGAAATTTGTATCCCTATAAGCTTTATTGTTTTTTTAATTACCGTTATAATTATTTTTAAAGAATAGCCAATCCCAAAATTAAATCCTGAATATCCTTGTGGATGGACAGACCAATATTCATTTCGTTATAAAAAGAAATATATCATACTTTTAGGAGATTTACATTAAATAATAACTATTTTTTTTTTTTTTCTGTTGGCAATATATACCATGTAGATCTTTTGCTGCCTTAACAATCCTGCTCCATCTCTGCCTGTCTTGGGCTATTTCTTTCCATTTATCTGCATGCAGCATCTTTTGTTGATTGTATCTATCCATCTGTTTTTTGGCCTTCTACGTGGTCTTTTGCCTTATATTAAAGCTTTCATCGTTACGTAGAGGCTTCCAGATGGATTACCACGAGCTACTTGCTCCACCCATCTTAAGCTCTGTGCCTTCATATCATGATATATATTGATTGACCAATTTTTGTAAGCAGTTCTTTATTGGTCTTTCTTCTGCGTGTGTTAGTACTCTGATCCCTGATCGCTCCGGTTATCGTGCGGAGAATTTTTCTCTCAAATCTTTCAACACTTTTTTCTAGGGTGCTGATTAGTGTCCAGGTCACACAGCCATATATTAGAACTAGTTTTTTCATAGCATTGTACACCCTTAATTTGAGATTTCTTGAAATTTTTATTAATAAAGTTAATAGTAATAATTTTTAACAGTATTTTAATAAAAGATAATTTAATGATGTAGTTTTATATATTTTCAAACTTTCATCATAAAATTTCTTAATAGTGGGTTAATAATTGACTGTCGTGGATATATTTATGAGGAATTGGTTGGGATGTTCAGTAACAAAGAACAAAGTAAAAATAAATAACTTGTATTTATTTTTATTGTTACCAACGTTTCGGTCCAAGTTACAGGCC